CGTAGTCCACGACCTAATAGTTTCCAAGCATGAATCAGAAATTGTTTGTGTAGGAAGCATGCACGCTGAGTCACCTGAATGAACCCCAGCCTGCTCAATGTGCTCCATTATTCCACCGATGACCACATTACCATGCAAATCAGCAAGTGCATCAATATCAATCTCTACAGCATCGGTTAAATACTTGTCAATCAGGACAGGGCGCTCCGGATCTACCTTAACAGCATTTTCAAGGTATGTCACTAATTTGTCGTTGTTGTAAACTATCTCCATTGCCCGGCCACCTAAGACATAAGAGGGTCGGACGACAACAGGGTATCCTACTTCTGTCGCAATGGCAACAGCATCCTTTTCGCTCTTTGCAATACCCCCTTTTGGCTGCACGATCTGTAGTTCATTCAGGATGGCGTTGAACCTCTCCCTATCTTCAGCTGCATCAATGGAATCAGGTGATGTACCCCAAATGCGAACAAAGCCAGCTCCACTTCTGGTCTTAGGCCTTCGCTCATCCAAGTAATTCTGAATTGGAAGAGCCAGTTTCAATGGGGTTTGACCTCCAAATTGCACAATGATACCATCAGGTCCTTCCAAGTCTATAATATTAAGAACATCCTCGACTGTCAGAGGCTCAAAGTAGAGACGATCACTTGTGTCGTAATCTGTAGAAACTGTCTCAGGATTGGAATTCATCATAATTGTTTCATAGCCTGCGTCCTGTATAAACCAAAAAAAAAAAATCAAGGTTGGAAACCAACATAGGAGCAAAGTAGTAACCTTAAAATGCCAACTATGAGAATTAAGACAGAACAAAAGACCAATATATTATTTTTCAAATACTTCATATGCGAAGACAAAAACTATGATTTTTCTATTTTCTGCATTGTGCAATCAGAAGTTCATCATTCTAAAAAGGTGAAAATCCATTCAACCAATGTTATATTTCTTATTGGAGCCATGCTATTGGAGTCTTCCATATTAAAAGGAACCTGTAGATCATGCCATTCATTTCCCAGAATTTATCGACTTTTGGATTTCAGTAGTATTGCAGAATAATCAGATAATTTGAATCATTATATGGAAGAAACCTTATCAGAACGTAAACCTCTATCAAATTCTGATCAAGTTATTCATTGGCAGTTGAAGAAGTATACCATAAAAGGCAATGCAGCAAAATTTAGACTCTAAATCAATCATCAAGAAACACAAACCTGAAGGGCAAAGGATGTATGACAGCAACAATAATCAAACTCAATACCCTGTCCAATTCGATTTGGTCCACCACCTAAAATCAACACTTTCTTCCTACCTGTAGGAGCTGATTCACACTCAATGTCATAAGATGAATACATATAAGGTGTATCAGCCTCAAATTCTGCAGCACATGTATCAACTCGTTTATATGCTGGTTTCACACCCAAAGACAAACGCCTTGACCGAACCTCCTCCTCACTGGACTTTGTCGCAAAAGCTATCTGTCTGTCACTAAACCCTCTCTTTTTCACTTCATAGAAGTCATCCTTTGTTAAGTCCGACAAACTGCGAGCCAGAAGGAACTGCTCCACATCTACAAGCTCTCTTAGCTGAGTGAGGAACCATTTGTCTATGTAACTGAGCTCAAAGATGTCATCTACCTTCANGAGCCAGAAGGAATTGCTCCACATCTACAAGCTCCCTTAGCTGAGTGAGGAACCATTTGTCTATGTAACTGAGCTCAAAGATGTCATCTACCTTCATCCCCCTCTTCATTGCAGCATATACCGCATGGATGCGATCAGGATTAGGAACCCGAAGACTATACTTCAATTTGTCCCAATCCCAGTCCAATTCCTTAACCTGGGTACAGCCCCATCCAGAATAACCACATTCTAGAGACCGCACTGCTTTTTGGAAGGATTCTTGGAATGTGCGACCTACTGCCATGGACTCACCGACAGACTTCATCTGAGTTGTCAATATGGCCTCAGATCCAGGGAATTTCTCAAATGCAAATCTAGGTATCTGCAAAATGTACATTGTTTAGACAACTAACTGTGAATGTATAAATAATGGAGTTCGAAATAAAAAAACAGCAATTTACGTCATCTTCATATCATGAAATAATAAAAAATGCCAATTAAAGTATTATCCCACAACCAGGTTTTGAAATATTGTGTCAAGATTGTAACAACGCTGCATACACTCTCTTGTAAAATACTTGCCAGCAGCAATAAGAATACTACGATAATTCAAAGAACAAATATAGGAATCAAGCTGATGACAGAGATGCCAGGATCATTTCCGTTGGCAAGAATCATATGTTCCTGTTTCTTTATCCTAACCTGTCTCTACACAATCCAGGTCAAAATATTAGCCATATTTTGGTCATAACTGGGACCAAATAATTCATTGTACCATAGAAAAAAGGGTGGTGAATATTTCTGGTTGTCAAGTTACACTAACATGTTATAGAGATGAGTATGTGTGAAGGCCATAAATAGACACCTTAGTAGAAACAAGATACCATTCTTACTCCTATATAACTGAATTGAGACACCCGAATGAATATTATCGCATTCTTTTATAAGTAACAGCTCATAAAATTTCTAGGGAGAAAATTAACACATAAGAGAAACATACTACACACAAGGCGATCGGAATTTAAGAGCAGCAATAAAGTTAAAGATAAAGATACTTGCCTTTGTAACTACATAATCTATGGATGGCTCAAAACTAGCTGGAGTCTTCTTTGTGATATCGTTAGGAATCTGATCCAGAGAGTATCCCACTGATAGCTTAGCAGCCATCTTAGCTATTGGAAAGCCAGTAGCTTTTGAGGCTAAAGCTGAAGACCTCGAAACTCTAGGATTCATTTCAATTACCATGACTTCACCATCAACTGGATTTACAGCAAACTGTACATTAGAACCACCACACTCAACTCCGATTTCCCTGATGATGGCAATCGAATAATCCCTAAGTCGTTGATACTCTTTATCTGTCAAAGTCTGAGCAGGAGCCACAGTGATGGAGTCCCCCGTATGAACTCCCATAGGATCAATATTCTCAATTGAACAAATGATAACCACATTGTCGGCCAAATCTCTCATAACCTCAAGCTCGTATTCTTTCCAACCTAACAAAGACTTCTCAACCAAAACTTGTGATGTCAAACTAGCTGCTAACCCCGACTTACATATCGTCTCGAATTCCTCCCTGTTATAAGCAATTCCACCACCAGTCCCACCTAATGTGAAAGCTGGCCTTATAATCAATGGAAACTCCCCGATTTCACTGGCTATCTCGATACACTCCTCCAAAGTATTTCCAATGCCTGAAGGTGGAGTCTTTATCCCAATATTCTTCATTGCCTGCTTAAACAAATCCCTATCCTCCGCCTTCTTTATGGCACCAAGCTTCGCCCCAATCAACTCGACCCCATACTTATCCAGCACCCCACTCTCCGCCAACGCTACAGCTAAATTAAGAGCAGTTTGGCCACCCATTGTAGGCAACAATGCATCAGGCCTCTCTCTCTCTAAGACTTGCTCCACAAGTTCAGGTGTCATTGGCTCAATATAAGTCCTGTCTGCCATCTCAGGGTCAGTCATAATCGTTGCAGGGTTCGAATTAATCAGTATAACCTCATACCCTTCTTCCCTGAGAGCCTTACAAGCTTGAGTACCTGAATAATCAAACTCACAAGCTTGTCCTATCACTATTGGCCCTGCACCCAGTATCAAAATCTTCTTTATATCTGTTCTTTTACCCAATTTCTGCTGCTTCCCCTTTTGAACAACAGAATCATTACTGGGGCTTTGCTCATTGACAATCGAAAAATTCACCCTTTTGCGCAAATGGGTGTGACCCAAAACGGATGGCCGAGATTGGAGGTGCAGAAAAGAGGAGCTTTTGTAAACTGCAGCTTTTGATGAATATAATGGGAAAAGGTGGGTTCTTGATGAATATATTTTGGAAGGAGGAAGAACAGAGGAAGAAGATGAAGACATGAGCCTATATGCAGCATTTTCACAGTGATTCATACAATAACCCATCTTCATTGAGCTTTTTCAAACAGTGTGAAGCAAATTGATTAGGGTTCTGTAGAAGATTTTAGAGGAGGTGAGCTTTTCAGAGGAGAGTGGAGCGGGGAGAGATGCTGGTTTCAGGTGAGGCTAGGGTTTTAGAACTCTTATACAGGTCGTGGATTATGAATTACTAGGTACGGATTTTAACCCAAAAAAAGGCTTAACTTCAACCATATTACTACTATTATGGGAAAATAACGATTTTATTGCTTTATTCCAATTTTGATCCTTAAGTTATTCAACATTGGACGTTTATCTGGGTGGACGTTCGGAAAGTTCGGATTGCATATGAAAATTTTGGTTTGGATTTTCGGTTTTCGGATTGAAATAATGACAATCCAAATCCAATTCAAATAAGTTCGGATTGGATCGGGTTTTTAAGTTCGGTTTCGGATTAATTAATTTGAATATTTTGGATTTTCAGTTTTGAGCTTATATGTTGAGAAGTTTCTTCTTTTTATAAAAATAAATATCCAAATGAGTACTCATGTTAAATTGCCTGAAAAGTTACTCATTCTCACCGCAATTATCCAAATGAAATATTCAAAATAATGAATTTATTTTTAAAAATATAATAGAGACATTAATACGGCCGATAAGAAGTAAAAATAGTAAAACCATGTCCAAATAAAAAGTATTCTCACAGTAACTTAGTAATTAATATTAAATAAATGAGACAATATCTAATGGGTAGGGTATTGAACTTATTACTATTGACATATGGATAATGAACTAAATATAAAGTATAAGAAATTCGGGTTTTCGGATATCCAAAATTCGAAGTGCCAAATCCAATATCCAATCCGAAATTCAAAAATTTTAAAAATTAAATCCAAAATCCAATCCATAATCCGAAAATCTAAACCAAAAATTCAAAAAAATCGGATTTCGATTTGGATTTCGGGTTTGCGCAAACTATGCCCACCTCTACGTTTAATCTCGGGTTGAATTGAATGTGCGCTTTTAATCTCAAAAATATTTGCTCTCTTTTTAATTAAAAAATGTGAACAAAAATCTCAACAAGATATTTGCTTACTTTCTTGCATTTCCTAAAATTAAACACATCTAAAATTCTATTTGTGATTTTATTTTTTCTTTTAGTCATTCGATTTTAATATATTTAGCTACGAACATACCTCGTGTTTCAAAAACTAAACACTTAACATTCTTATTAAATGAAAATATTATTCATACTAATATGTGTATAGGATTTTTGTATAGGAGAGTGCAAGTATTTGATAGAAAATACATGAGATATATCTTTAATTAAGTCATATTACACGAGTGATTGTATAATTTGGTATGTGAAATGAAGAGAAAAAGTTCAAAATCATACATTATCTTTAATTTTATACTCAAAGTCATATATATTCTTTCACATGGAGTACTAATAGTCCATTTACTTTAACATAGTGGTGCATATTTAATCAAAACCTTAAACGCCGTTAGTTTTTTAACAGAGGCCTGTCACATAATTTTTGTTCCCTCCAAACGAATAGCAATTATATCTATCTAAAGAAAGTCATTTATATTCTTGCTTACCCAAAAGAAAGAAAGATAACGGGTGCAGTGCTGAATCTTTTATTGGAGAACATGTTGCAGACGATAAGTTAAAACGTGAAGCTAATTGCTAGTGCAAAGGGAGAGCTTGAACATTTGGTGAAAAAAAAGTTTAAAACGTCAATGTTTTCGTAGCTATAAAGGATGCTGCGAAAACTCAAAGCAACATCAAGCACTGGAAGAAGTTTGTCAGAAAAACTCATATTAATATAGTATACAAAACTGAGGATATCTATCAATCTTGATAAGCTCTTGGTTCAAGCGACGCTGCACGCTAGAGAAAAATAAAATTAAAAGAATATTGATTATTCCCAACACAGTCAAAGAGCTCGAAAATCAGGTGAGAACCGTCATTGAAAAGGTGATGAAACTTTGTGAAGAAAACGTCGGCAATATTTCGGATTTTCCAAAAGTCAACTTGGTTTTCATAAAATTCGGCTCCTTCCTTGTATTACTCTCTTGGCAAAAAACGAATGGAAGAATGGTAGCTAATCAGTTGTAGGGAATAAAGAAGTTTCCGTAAAAAAATTAATGGTATTTAGGGTTATGACTAAAAGTGCACTATTTTGTTAAAATAAATGGACTATCGATGCTATATGTGAAAGAATATGTATGAATTTGAATGTGAAGCTAAAGATAATGTATAATTTTGAACTTTTTCCTAAAATGAATGTAAATAACTTTTTTCAATGACTTGAAAGTTAAAAATATCATAGTGCATCAATTCTGGTGCAGGTACATTTTTTTTTCTGTATGATGTGCTAAACTTCAAAAGGCAATGTGAGAATTTAGACATGATTGGTACTTGATCTAGGCCAAACCCATATCACAATTAAGTAATGAGGCGGTCGATACAATAATAAACCCAACGAAGATCGGGATCGAATCCTCATGGAGTTAGAATATGGGATTAGGAGTATATCTAAGTTAATTGCAAGTTTTGGCTTCAATTACACCTTCACAACTTGATTGGTGTTCTACTTCTACCTTACTCTATTGTTTGCAAGTATAAAACTAAGCACAATATTTTTTATTTTGAATTTTTCAAATGATTAAAAGGGACTAGGGTCGTGACTTCTACCTAGTTGGTTATCTAAGGGTTATAAACTCCAGGGCAAGTTTGATTAGTTGGGGTCGTGATGTAGCAATCACATCCGGGTACTCACTCTATACCTCTTGGTAGTTTAAGTGATTTTGCTCAATTTGGCTTTCTCAAGTCCAATTGGGTATTTGCACTATACAAGTGATATTAGCTCAAGTCGGGTATTACTATCTCTAGGTTTAACTCTTTAATTATGGCTATCAATTTCTTGAGTTCACCCAATTTCTTGTTAGCCAAGTTTTTCTAGACTTAGTCTCTTTTTCTCAAGTAAAGGCTAAGTCAAATAGGCATGAATCAATATTTGCAACCATTGATTCTAGGGCTCAATCATGAACAAGGCTAAATGTCACTAACCCAATCAAAAATAAGCCCTAAATTAAACACCCATCAAATACCCACACTAGGGTTGGTGTCATGACCCAAGTCGATGGGTCGGGCCGCGATGGACACCCGGTACCTTACTCAACCGAGTACCGACGTAACGTATCTTTATTATTACATCATCATATACACGTGACATACGGGCCTAATAGGCCAACAACATCATTTATAAACTCAAAACATAGGCCGACAAGGCCGTACAATCTTTCACGTACACGGCATATGTCTACAAGCCTCTAAGAGTACATAATCATAAAGGTCGGGACAGGGCCATGCCATACTAATCAGTACATGTCCCAATCATACTGACCACATAAGCAACTCCGGAACAAATGGAGTACACCAACATCTTCCGCTGAGCTGATCGCCTACTTGGAGGACTCTCGACCTGTCTATCGAGACCTGCGGGCATGAAACGCAGTGTCCCCAGAAAAAAGGGACGTCAGTACATATAATATACCGAGTATATAAGGAATGAAAATCAGTATATACTAGACATGAGAGAAACATGGAGTAAAAGACTCGACATGTACGTCTGCATAGCTCTGTGAATCATTTCATTTTTATAATGTCATGCATATGCGTATAAATGTCATATCATGCATTTGTATATGCGTTCATAAGATCATCAAGCCTCTAAGGGCATCCCATCATATCATTTCAGCCACTATGGGCAAATCATCAACGTATACCAGCTTATCAGGTGGTGGTGCGTATATAACGCTATAACCTTTTTTCATATCCCATATACATATAATATATATATATATATATATATATATATATATATATACGCGTATATAATGTCATCTGGTCATGTGTCAATATAAATGAATGCAATGCATGATAAGTACGTCAATAAAATCTTTCGGAGTGTCATAAGACCATTATGCCTCTCATTAATATCATGAAATAGATGTTATCAACTTACGTATTTTTTGAGACCCATGAAAAGACGATAGAATAATAAGACTTATGGGAGAATAAGAATATACACATCTCTAGCATTTCTATGAATAGAGTAATTTATGGAAATTGTGCATTTACTCGTTTCGTTTGTGTCGTATAGATAATGCCAAAAAAAAAAAGAACGGATAGCCTTAACATACCCGATTTGATTCTCTTGTCAATCTTCTAACACACGTTAATTGCGACAAAATACGGAGAAAATCGTATGAAAATCTCGAAACAATCACGTTGCTATGCAAAGAAAATTTTGGTTGAAACTTTTCCTTAAGAACTTAGCAACAATGTTGCTATTTGGAAAATGAATTAACATTGTTATGTTATTAGAAAGTGATTTGTATAGTAACGTTCTTGGCTGAGACTCTCTAAGAGGTTAGAAAGATATGTAACTCTTTCTTAAGAATGAATGTATTAAGAATGGACTTTTAACTCTTTTCTTGAAAGTGGATGTGTGACTCACGTTTTAGACTTTGCCACATAATAGTATGACTTTAAGAGTCATCTAAATATTATGGGAGGGGCTGCCACGTTTTTCCCTCTTAAAGTTATCCAAATTATTAATAATTTATTATTCTCCCACTAACCAATAATTACCCACTTATCCACATAATTAGGAATTATCTCAAATTACTTAAAATACTATTCAGTTTTAACATACCTTATACATCTTACTATCATGGTCACGTAGTACCTTGTATGACACTAATCCATAAATACTGGGTATTATAGTTCGGACCATATTTTTTTTCCAAATCGACAATCTTCAACGAAACTCGTTATCTTTGATTCGTTCACCCTTTAACCTTCACGGAACTTTACTTATCGCGTGTTATAAGTAGCATAAATGCTTATAACCTCAAAAATAATCTCATCTCCGAGTCTACATCGATTAACTTACGATGAAGCTTTTACGTACGAAAATGCAGGATGTAATATCTCATTTTCGAGCTTTCATCAATTTACTTATGGCATATTTTTACGTACGAAAATATGGGGTGTAATATCATTCCCCTCTTTAGAACATTCGTCCTCGAATGTTAACTGATGCACTTATCATTCTCACAACCCATAGCTTTTGCGAATACTTTAATATTCTTCTAGCCATGTAGGCAACTGTT